TAATTTTTTTATTCTCCCTTTCCTATTATGTAATTGCAGAACGAATATTCAATATATTAGTGTACCACATAAAAACTCATTATGACAATCGTAGCGGACGTCTATTGCATCGGAGATACGAATTGTGGTAAGCCAAATTCAATGTTATTTCTCGCGATTTTTCCATGATGTCTTACATTGTGGTTTTTTAAACATTCTTCAATGTTTCCTCAGTCTGCGAGCTGAGAACTAGGCCTTGGCTTAATTCAAGTTGAAAAACCGGTTTAACCTTTGCAGTCATCTTGAAATTTTAGCCCATTTGCGTTTAAAACGTTAGCATAAAAAAGTATTTATAAATTTTCGACCTGTATTTTTACAAACTTTAATTTTTTGTGTGTTCTCGTTTTTTTTCAACTTGAATTAACACTTTGACTTTACCCCGCGGATGCTTGACAAGCACACGTCGTTTGTTTTTTTTTTGACCAATCAGATTCGTTCTTCAAACCGCATTTTATATCTCGCATGGTTCCACGATATTTTTCGGCAAATAGGCAAAAGTTTTGTACATTTTTTGTGCATTTTCATTTGCTTTTTAAAATATTTTTAATGGAATATTTATTGTTCGAGTATCTAAAATGTATTTGTGATAATTTATTTGATAATTTCTCGTTGTTTTGATATGAAATTTTGCGAGTGAAATTCGTATGTATGTTATATTATTACAAGAGTTCCATCCTTCTCATAACTATATATTTATATGCTTCGCGATCACTGACGTTACTGAACTTGCAACCGTAACTGGACTATTTACTTTTTCTTTCAACAATATTTATTGGGGTTCCTATGCTCAGTGGTCATAATATTAGACCAATTAGACTGGCGTACACGCGCGAGGCGCAAGCGCCGCGAGAAGGAAAACATGTCTGGGCAAGGGCTGCCTATATGTATAAACCTAAATGGACCAATTACCGTAAAATCGTTGTGTGTGTGCCCGAATTAAAGCAGGGACTTTTGCCTGGTCCGTTAACTTACCTGTTGATATAACGTGCGCGGATTGCGAGAAACGGAAGAAATATTGGTCACAAATAAAACTAATGTTCTTCCAAGGCCAGTTTTAACCAGTAATTCTGAGGTTACAACTAATATTTGAAGTTTGTGCTTAATATTACCTTCAAACGCAGATTTTAGCCTTGTAATTTGTAATAAAAGGATCTGTAATTTGTGCTTCATACAGATACCTTTCATACAGAGTTTAGCCTTATTCTAGACAAACAGTGCAGGCGAGTGTGAGGTGATTTCAGCACCTCTCTGGTTATAGAAGTGCAGTTGTTGAACGACTCCTGCACAATGGAGCGTCAAGAAGATGGTTGCTTGGCAATGGGTTGATCACGGTTACAGTCAACAACCGGGAAACTTCGAACATGTCATGCGCATATTGTTCGGCAGGAAAAGTGTTTGTGGGAGATGATTCACTGCAGAAGGGCACGGAGCCTGAGGTTTTAAAAGTTGAGCTTAAGAGAAACAAAAACAAGGCCTCAATTAGTCAGGTAAGGAAAATGCTTTGAGTATCATTGTTTAAATTCGCATACGCTGTTTGCCCAGCGTATTCATGCTTAACAACAAAATATATTTGCAAGAGCGACCAAGTTTTAATATTCTTCTAGTGAAAGCTCTTAGTAACGTATTTGACATTTCCAGGCTTGTTCAACTGATAGCAAAGCTCGTGCAAATGATTCTAGCCAGGTGTCAAACACAAAATTCGATACGAAAGCAACTGACCTTCTTACCCGCGATTTAAAGGCCACTGGTACCGTAGGCTCAGTACAGAAATCTTGTGACTCAAGCAATGGGTGCAGTTGCGTTGGTAAAGGATGGGTTCAGATTGTGGTTCGAAGACCAACCAGAGATACTTCGTGGATTTTGAGACTACAAAGTCGGCCGAAACTCGATGAAACACAAACTTCACTACCAGCGATGGGAAAGACAGGGATTTATGAAAGTTTAATTTGAAAACAATCCTTTGGTAAGCCCATTTATTTTCTCAAACCTTCCCAACCTTCAATTGTGCCAGGCGTCACTAGAGTTGTCGATGGGGAAAACTTTGTTGAAGTTTGCAAGTCAAAAGGCAAGCCGATTCTATCGCTACAAAAATTTTTAGAGTTTGCGTTTTTATTCTAAAATCCATTTTACTTCACATATTTCTTTAGTTGTTCAGTTATATTGACAAGCAATTGCTTTTGACTTTCAGGAGCGATTTATTACTATATCGACAATGGCTTGATTGGTGAAGGTGGATTTGGTGGAGTATTCAAGGGTGATGCCATAAAAAGAACTAAAAAAACACCGGTAATTCTCACACAATGTCTCTGCTTCAAAAACAAGCATTTTCCTTGGCATTATTGGCCATATTGCCCTGCTTCTGGGATGAATTAAGATTCCAAAAATCTTATTAGGTTGCCAGCCGTTGCGTTGATTTTTCAGGAAAACCATCTGGTTTTTCATTTACCAAGAGATCGATTTTGCAATTTTTACATTTGAGACAAAGGGATTAAGGTAAACATTGACATTTCGTTGCCGTTAATATTAAAAGTGTTCAAATTTCTGGCACAATGGCACTCAATAAGTACTTTATTGGTGCCAGGCGAAGAAAGTCAGCATAATGTTCCTTTATCCTTGAGTTATTTTGTCTTGATGATGACACTAATAATGCTGTCATTGCTGTGGCTATATTGCTAGCCTTGTTAATTCATTATTTTTGTCCTTTTAGATTAGAACAGAATTTTGCAACATTGCATGGGGAAAGACATGAGGGGACTCAATAAATAAATGAGAGACCAATGGTAACTGAGGAAATCTGATAATTAGGAAGTTTTAGATCAAAGAGGACATTATATTATAATAATGATTAGCCTAAATCTAGTTTTTCCATGAATACATACCATATTTTATGTGGTACTATCTGTAAAAGATACATGTATTCATATCATGCTAAATATATGTTCTTATGCCAGCCCATTGTTCTTTATGGATGACTCTGACATGGTATCAAAAGTCAAAACTGTTCATCACCTGGACTATTGGCAGCCGGATGACTTAAAGAGATAAGCTCTGTTGAACATTTTGATTGCATAAAAAAACGGTAGTAATATAATTTTATATATTGTAACATTATTATTGCTTCAACATGCTTGCTTGTAACTCATCCATGCTATGAAAATTGTTATCCATACCTATAAATTTTGCTATATGGTACAACTTATTTGTATACTTGCTAAAATTTGTTGTAATCACCTATATAGGTATTTATATGCATATGTTTCTTTTGACTCTTTAGTGTGACGGCATGCTTAACTTAATAGTACATTTTTTAAATGTTTGTAAATAATACCTATAGATAATGAAATGTAGTGAAATCATGTAAGCCAACATTTTTTGTCGTGTTTGTTTTGTAATACAGATATGAAACTGAAGCCAAATCGAGTCACACGTTTTTTGCCCAATGTGCGCATGACGTAACTTGCTTGGCAAGTGTCATGTTGAAATTTAAAGTGCTTATAAACCCAAAATGGGTTTTTGGTGATTCAGATAGAGCATAAAAAGTTGGTTAGTAACTTCTAGATTAGTTTTTGCGTTAAAATTTTAATTTTGGAGATATTGGGCGGCAAAGTCAATTTTTTTAAAAAAAAGTAGCGCGCAATGGGGGACTGGGAACCAGGAACACGTCCATTTACTTTACTATGAAACATAATACAGTTCTAGTAAACAAATTGGAAATATCTGGCCATTTTTAAATAAAAGTTCTTGAAATGTCGAGCTCTAGTTCATTTTCGAGTGTGAATAGCAATACTGCTACCATTATGCCATATGAAATGGAAGACGAGCGTAAAGAAAGCGAGAAATGCGACGCAGAATTCGATCCTGATATTCCGGAGGACAGCCAAATGGATGACAACACAGACCCCGAGGCCTACTTTGACGAACCTATCGCGGATAATGTTTGGCTAGAAAATTATAACAGAGCGCGGGAAGAAAATAACCAAACAATGGCAGAACTAGAACTCCGCTGGAATGGAAGAAAAACTTTAACTTCCTGGTAATTTGCGTATTATGTCATTGTGATTTATCGCAATATTCCAGTAGCACGTGGTATAAAAATTGTATTAAAATTTGCTTTGTCTTTGTTCAACTGAAGTTGTTTTTTCGTTAGGTGCAGTTGTGGTAACTGTAGCATTGAAATGCTGCAAAATGCTAAAGAGTGTCGTTGTTGCCACGAAATCGAGGGTTGCGCAAAATTTATTGATGACTTTTCTGAGGAGTCAAGTGAGGAACAGAAATTGACTTGTATAGTTAATCATCCTGGTTTTCCAGCTGTTTGCTTAAACAGATGGTCGTTGGAGCTTGCTGCTGACAATTTCAAAACCCGTCAGGGTCATAGATATAAGCAAAGTGGCTCAAAACAAAGGTATGTTTATTCAATAATAACAGACACAACGTGGCCTTTGTCATCATTGTCGTGTTTATAATATTATTATCATTAATGCAGCCTGTGAAGGGGCATCTGAAACTGAAAGAATTGAGTTATACCAAACACACCCTGGGGTAGTTGCATAAACTTGGATGCCCCTGGGAAGAATTGAAAAAGCTGGTTTATGATAATTGCAGTAAAACTGTATCATTACATAGATTGTTAAATTCTGACAGGCTTACTCTTAGTTGCCCTGTTGTGACTGCCATTTGCTATTGCACAATGCATTACTGTTCATCAGGCTCAAATAAAAGGAATGATCGAATTTGGTTTGTAATCCCTTAGATTTCTGAGAGTTGTTGCCTATCGACAATTTACTCGCATGGTGCATGGCCGATTAAGGGACAAAAGAATTCCATTGCCTTCTTGTGCATACAATGCTATACGTTTAACACATAAACCCATGGATGGTGCATTCACTGGCTATGAAGAACTGGAGACAGATGAAGAAAGCGAATAATATTGCTTTGGTTCAAATGTAAATTGTGTAAAAATGTATGAACAAATGCAAATAAAAATATTGTTAATCTTTTTTATTTTTTGGACAGTCAACAACATTTTTGTGACCTTTCATTGGCTGCTTGCACAGCCTACATTTTGGTGCATTTCTTTGTTTTAAAGCATGACTTTGGGTTCCAACTTCAACAGTGGGAACTAAAAAGAGGAGTGGGATAAAATTTAGAATGCATGGTAAACCATCATTGTACCTATATTGTTATCTGATCTTAAGTGTAAATGCATCAACAACTTCTAAAATACCTGGGTTTGTTGGAGGAACATCAGAAAGTTGCATTGCATCCCTTGTTTTCTTTTTTTGTATTGCTTCTTCTCTTGACTGCTTACTTAGCATGGTATTCATGGGTGGTGGTGTTTTTTCGTTTAGGTCATCTATTGCATCTTCCAGTTTTTTATTCGCAATAGCCTCTAACATGGTTTGATATATTTTATCCACATAATCTATAATATATATATATATATATATATATATATATATAATTATATATATATATATATATATTAAAGTGCCTTCTACATGAATCCTTGGTTTGTAATTATCCAATCAACCTACCAAAGTTTTGCTTTACTGGAACTTTTCTGACAACTGCTTCCCCATTCATGAACTTGGGATAAACAACATTGTATTGTTCAACACCATTTTTCAATCTTGCTTCCCGAGACAGATTCTGATTAAAGTGCATGACTGCTAATGCATGTCTGCAAAAAATGACACTGCTTTATAAGTGATACTTTTAGCACTCATGTGGCAAAGGGTGGCCTCCTGGAAATTTATTTTCCCATCATTTAGGTAAATGTCACATCTTGTTTCAAACTCTTATTTTGGTGATATCAATAAATTGCTAGAACAAAAAGTAAGCATTTAAACTGTACATCATTACACTATCTTTTGAATGCATACAGTAATTACCTGCAAAACATTCCTCTGTAGGTATAGCCTATCATCTTGGGAGAGAATTGGTTCAGCACAGAATGGAATCCTTCTAGGCAACTTGTTTGGTCCATTGGAGATGCATGCTTTATTCCTTTTATCAGCCTTTTGTTAGTAAGAGATGACTGCATTTTCTCATAGGCAACTGAATCTAAGAATATGTCACAACATAAACAGATTGTACATAAATACTACCATAATATTGACACACATGCATATCACCATATTATGATGATAAAAATAGTATTGCATGCACTTCAACAAACCTTTATCTAACCATTTCCGTGGCTCAATTGTCTCTTTATGCCCACATTTGTTGAACAACGGATTCTCAAGATTTTTGTGCTCATTAACCACATGACTTAAAAATGATGAGAACTTAGCCCAAATAACTTCACCATTCCATCATGTGTAGTTCTTGCACTCCAGTATAAATGGTTAGTACAAGGCTTTATCCATTCAGCAACTGCTTCACACCCACTCACTTTTGCAACTTTTGTGAGTACTTTTGAACTAAGGAAACTCTTGGACTAAGGAAACTAAGGAAACTAAGGAAACTAAGGAAACTCTTGGAACTAGTGTAAATTAGTTTGGAGAAAAGTTTGTATGTATTGGGGCCAGATTGTCAAAACTAAAATGGTGGCAGTAAAAAAGTTCGGATTACAACAAGACTTGTTAATTTACACATGAGTGCAGATTTCCTGTCAAATAATGATTTGCAAAAATTAGAGAACAGTTGACCTGCATTTTCTTACCTATGTGAAGGCACATTAATGTCTTCATCAGTATCAGTATCTGCTGTATCTGTCTCTGTCTCAATTTCTGCATCTTCATACATATCATCAGAAGGCCCCTCTGTCTCATCTTCAGATTTGTGATCTTCCTCATCATTGCTCTCAACTTCCTCATCATCATCACTACTTACACCTATTGTAAATTATTACAGAAACATATAAGTGTGGTATACTTACAAAAGGCATTATTGTATCACCGACACTCTATACCATTTACAGTACATTATATATGCTTTACGTTATTCTTGTTTCCTTGTGACACAACTATAAGGATGTTATTGCAACAACACCTTATGTAATATAAATGTTTACCTGTTGCACCCCTAAGAATATCCAATTCTTTTCTCACACCTGCCAGCTTTTGTTTTGATGTTTCCCAACAGTTACGGATTCGCTTGTTTTCCTTCTTTAACAAATCACAATTTCTGCACTTGTGTGGTGACTGTGGTGATGCCCCAATCTAGTACAGCAAAGGTTAATTAACACACTCTTGTGTTTGCTTTATACATGTGTGCCTGAACACCACCATAACCTATATATATATATATATATATATAGCTAGAAGCCTTACCATTGATTCGTGTTCCATAACATCCGTCGGGAAGACAACACTTTCCGTCGTAGCTTTCAATTCATCAGTTACGCCAGAAATTTTTGACGAAGTTGTTGGCGATTCTGTTATAGTCTCGAATTTGTCGAATGCAAAACATTTTTAAGTGTTTAAAAATATTCAAATTGTGCGCATTTATTAAATATATGCACGAATATAAAGAGCGCATTGGCACAGTTATGATTTAATATCCCTTAGCTTACCTCTCTTCGCTTCATGCGTTTTGTGCGTTCACTTTCTGTGCTGCCCAAAATTTGATTTGCTTGCAATGTAGGGTACACAGAAACTCCCAACTCATCCCTTTTTAGTCTAGGGGTCTTATACTTTGAAACTGTAGCAGAACCGTACTCGAAACAGTCGTTCGTGAAGTGCTTTGAGCAAACAACTGATGAGGGTGTTGGCGTCCATTTGTCTCTTCTGCGTCGAATGAAGTTCACCCATATTCGCCTTCGTTTCGCTGCTACGGTCGCGTTTTCGTTCCAAAAAGGTATCTGGTATAAAAAATACCAATTCTCCGCGTCTGCCGTGTTAGAACACCCAAAAACAACGCAACGTTCGGGCCATTTTAAGCAGAAAACTCTCAAAGATATACAGTCTCGCAATACAAAGTGTGATTGCTGTAGAAGATGAGTTCCTGGGATCCAGGCTCTTTGGTGATATTTGCGTCGCGCTACTATTTTTTTGAAAAATGGTCAAATTTTGCTGTTTGAGCCATCGTAACTCCGAATTAAAATTTTAACGCAAAAACTAATCTAGAAGTTACTAACCAACTTTTTTATGCTCTATCTGAATCACAAAAACCCATTTGGGTTTATAAGCACTTTAATAAGTAGATCGATAGAAAATCGAATTATTGACAAACAAATGCTGATTTAAACAAAACTTTAAGGCGATGTCTATTTTTTGTTATTTTAACCTACACATCAGTTTTTAATTACATCGTCTTATTTAACACCCGAAGTTTGTGTGGTTTAGTTTTTGCACTTTTGGCGCTAGCATTGGAGCGACTAAATAGCATAAGCTATATAATCATACGAAGTATACAAAATGCGACTTGAAAATATTTATTTCTACATATGCTGTGACAGGAAAATCTATGTACAAGAATGTATAAAATGTCTAGTGTACTTAACGTCCTTCAAAAGTTTTTGTCCTAAGGCTTGCCGACCAGAGCAGTTTCCATTTGCCACACCAGCAATGTACTCCATGTTTAGTGGATAAAATAAGGTTGAGTGCTCTTCGATAGGATAACATTTGCCCTCCACCGCAATCATCAAAGTTTGAACGTCTGAAATGTCTTCTGAATCATTATCCTGATCTATGGAATCAACAACCTTTAATAAGAAACCAATGTTTTTTAGAAGGACTTTAAAAGTATTTAAAAAACAAAGTCAGCCCACAAAGGTTCTTACACTTACTGAACAAATCTTAAAAAAGAGAGACTGAGATTCTCCTACATTCTTCTTCAATAATTCCTTCAAAATCTAAGCAACTGTGCTCTGGATGTCTGTTAAAAAAATTGTTTATCAAGATAGATTATGTTAGATTATAAATAGGCATATTTCATGTAGCAATAGCCTGTATTGCTATAATACTATAATTTTGCCATTGGTTTGGGCAAATTATTATTAATTGCATGACTTACCTGATTTCCCAGTAATTGCTCTCTCCACTCTGTTTATAAGAACAAATGTAGTTTCTTGTTACATTTCTTGGCATAGTCCAAAATATTTTTCTCAATCAATGGATTGAAATTTGCCAATAATATCATGGATTAACTTGTGGTTTACTCTTTAAAATTCTGCTTTTACCTGAAAAAGAATTAATAGAGTTTGCTAGATACATTGTGAAAGAAAATTCCTCTACTGGTAATTTAAACCCATACTCTGTCAATTAACTAAAATATCAATGAGAATTTTATACAAAATATGGCAGGTAACTAAAAAGTAGCGAAGTAGCACACATGGGTATGTCGAACAAAGAAATTTGGCAGTCAATTATCAGCTTGGATAGTTTGTCAACAAGAATTATAGTACCTTATATCAATATTAAAGCTGTAAACTAAAAGCAAACTTACCTCTGTAACAAGCTAAAGTGCAGGATTTTTTTTAAATTGTTTCTACCCCAGGCATTCTTATGCTCCATGAACCCTGTATCAGAAAAAATATATTTATTGATATGTTTAACAAGTCAGATCCATTTCTTAAAGTATCATAGAGGTGGTAAACATAAATAATCGTAAAGATTATGTACATCAACAAGGTTATCACTTACTCTTCCACCACAATTGAGTCAGCAAGGAAGGGATATTTCCAAATTATCATAGGTGAAATATTTTGTTTTTCTTCCATGGTTTGATAAATTAATTTTATACGCCTGATTGTTGACAGTAAATATCCCTCATTCCCTTGTGAACCAATGTTACGTAAATGCATCCACTGACCGAAATATAATAATGAGTAAGAGTCAGAGTGGACGCATAATCGACATATTTGGGGATATAGTGTCGCGGCAACCAACCGTACAACGAGAGAAAGGCGAAATTTTAATTTGAAATTTCAAACATCGTCTCGCTTTGCCTTTTTTGGATTTATTAACAATCGTTTTTAGTTTTTTACGAATTTTAAGACAGTGTAAACTGAAAAGAGAGTAAATAATATACTTTATTAGAGATTTATAGAAAATTTCGTATTCATTGCAATAGAACTGTAAAACCATAGAACCGTAGAACAATGGAACCGTAGAATCCTGGAACTGTAGAACCCTGGAACCGTAGAACCATAGAACCATGGAACCATATAACCGTAGAACGGTAGAACCGTAGAACCGTAGAACCATAGAACCATAGAACCGTAGAACCATCAAACAATAAAACCATAAAACCGTAGAACCGTAGAACAATTTAATGGTAGCATTATATTATTAGTGCCGTATAATTATGCATTACATATTTATTTAATTATTACAATATATTTCGTTACTCGTAACACGGCCTTATAACCCTCATTAGTGATCTGCCACATAATATTTCATCAGTCCTTTCATCACGCGCCCGACGTCAAAGTTCACGAATCGGGTATGCGCCAAAGATCATAACGGAATTGCAATCGAATGTTTTCGATTTTGAGTAAGTGTAATAGTTCTGGATACTTTTGTACTTTCACACTCAAGTACTGCTCTGGTATATTAAATAATACCAGGTAATTGTAATATTTTTGTTATTACAAATTACAAGTTTTCTAACCGAGTATGTGACTTTAATACCTGAGTGTCAAGTGTCAAAGTCAATTTAGATGTAAATTTTGATTAAGATGTCTTTTGCAACCTGGGCTTATCTGACGTGATATGTATCCTGACTTCCTATCTTCCACCATATTGATACAATATAATTGCTGCATGATCCTGGGTTTCAAATTGGAATTTGCTTGCAAATGCCTAACATATATAATAGCTCTTTGTTATGATAAACAACTATTAGAAAGTTTTGGCAAAATGTCAAGAATTCAGACCAACTCCAAAATAGAGGTTCTTTTGCTGATTTTCCTAACAAATGATGTTGAAATCAATCCTATGTCCTTTTAGGATTTTATTATCATTTCCATAATTTCATGCAAATTATTGTATGTAGGATTTCAACACCTGACAACTATCATTCTGTCTTTCTATGTATTTTGGCAACTGGAATATAACTGCAGCCATAAAGTTCTCAATCTAGTTTTGTCATTGCACATGTGAATGGTTGGTAACCACATGGAGTAAGTTATTAACTGACAAATTTTCAAAAATATTTTATTGGGCTTTCAAAGATTTTCTAAACATCTTGCCAAGCTTGAAGGCACCAACAGAAGTTATCATTGGTGGGAGAAAAGGTCAGTTGTCAATCTTGAGATAAAATAAAACTGACAACTGCTGGTAATTTGTAAAAAAACTGTTTTTGTTTTATAGACAAAGCAGGCAAAAGACTCAGAATATTACAATTTCTACTGAGCGCAGAGAAGACCTTATCACAGAGGCTTTAGTAAGGAAGTGTAATTTTTATTATTTCGTACCTTTGTTTTACTGTATTGTACAATCTGTCAATTAACCACTGATTATTATATTTTAAAAGTTCTACAAAGACTTTGCTGGTCATAAAAGTGGAAGTGATATGGTATGTTCGGGTTAATTATACCTCATTCCCTAAAATGAAACTATTCGCAATAAATTCAAAATCGTAATTCATCATAGTATCAATGCCCCCCCCTCCCCTCTGTCTTCAAAAAGTTAGGTCCATATTCCTTTTCTAATTTAATAAGTGGGTTCTTAGTAAAGTGATAAGCTAACTGAAGCTAACGTTTCGAAACTATTTCAACATCAACATATGCCATATTTTTGTGTAGAAGTTTAGTGGTTATAAATTACATTGCAGTGAACGAAAGGTTGCACTCATGTTAGAGGTACCACGGCGGGCACTGGCTGGAATAAATTCGCTCACGTAGATCGTGTCGGTCGCGACCCGCAATTTTTGGGAAACTGGGTTCGAGTTTTTTTAATACGGAAAAACAAGGAATTTCGATTTTATCTCCACTTTTACGCCTTCCCATAAGGCCTCTTTTTACTGTTCAGAAAATTGAGTCGATGAGCGAAGTAGAGCTGATCAAAATCTCCCGTTTGATACCAAATATGCAGAGAAAAGATTTAATTTGACCTACTTTTTACGTGCAAGTAGATACCCTATTTTGAAGAATTGTTTTGGTATTCACATTGAGTACACACAATGGTATGTTTGGCTTCATTAAACTTTGGGCAGCTACGTTGTTGTGCTTGTTCTTTGGCAAATACTTAACGCTTAGGTATTGTTCTTCGATCGTATGTTTTTTTTTGGCAAGAAAGCGCTTATTTTCCTTGTATTTTGATGGATTTTATCATGTTTCTAGCATGGCTGCCTCAAGTGGTGTAAGGAAGAGGCGATACAACAGATTTCCTGTTGGGAAATATATGGTCTTGCAGAAGGAGAAATGGGACAATGTTTTAAAAGAAACAAAAGCTATTCAGGAAACAGATGTGCAATTAGCTCAGAAAGAGAAGGAACTTTGTTCAAAACGTGAGAGAATGAGACGAATAGATGCAAAATTTAGTGTATTTTTTTAAAAAATTGAGTTATATAAATATTAATTTGATTGTGCTTTGAATGTAGACCTGAGCAGCATGTTTCACGGACTGGTACTCTACTACACAGCCAGAAACGCCACAGACTTGTTGCAAGTTGTCAGTTTTACCGGCTTGTTTCAAGTTATCAACCGGTTGCAAAAAGCTGGTTAATTTCAACAAGTTGCGACAAGCCTGTGAAAATCAGTCTTGTTGCAACTTGTCATAATTAGCAGTCTTGATGCAACTTGTCAATCCCAAGCTTGACAAGTCTGATTGAACAACTTGCAGCAAGTCTGTTGTAACTTCTAACAGGTTTGTTGACAACTTGCATCAGGTCTGATGAGAACAACTTGCATCAAGTCTGTTGACGACTTGCAGCAAGTCTGTTGACAACTTGTAACAGCCCTGTCTGAACAAGCTGATGCAAGCCATGCGAACACATCAGATATCAGTTTGATACAACAAGTTGCAACAGGCCTGCAGCAGACTTGTTGCAACTTGGGTGTTTTTGGCTGTGTATATTATATTGGCTTTTGTATTTTTTTTCCTGCTGCACACATTCTAAATAAAATTCATAATTGCCTTCAGATTGAAAACCTTGATAAATATATTGAGGAAGGGGGTGATGTTATCAGTGAAGTGAATAGAGCAGGTAGAGCAGGTCATGGTAGTTCAGAGCCACCTAGGAAGAAAAGATTTATTTCGAGAGATCAACCTCAATAAGAATGAGAAACCGCACTCAGTTTGGTGCAAATAGTACAGTTAGTCTAGCTACTTCAAGAAGGAGGAGTTCAGAGACATTTGAGGCAGCATGTCAGATTCATGGGGCTACTAATCACTCAAATTTACCAGGCCAAGTTGGTCTGTGTGACACAGCAATAACAAAATGTTCTGAAAAACTTTTAGTTAATGTTTTTTCAACAAATGTTAAAACAGTTAAAAGAGTAATTCCTAAGATATTACAGAAAGGTATAAATGATTATGAAAAGTCAAATGATAACATGACAAGAAGTATCGCTGTGTATTATAGTGGCGGTATAATGGGTAAAAGGAAGTATCGTAATGTTTATAGGGCAAGTAGTTACAAAAAGAGTAATGAAGCAAAGTCTCTTCGTATAAAAATCAATAACTGCCCTATTCCGAGACTGTTGCCTTACCATAAGCTTGCACATTATATTAAATCAATAGATATTGGTAAACTTTATTCCATTAGGGAAACACTTTGTGATGGTCTAGATGAAATTGACAAAGTTGATGGGGTGTATAGAAATATTCAGGAGATAGTTCTTATTCTTGCTAGATACTACTTAGTGTGTCGAAAGAGGTATGAGCTTGTATGCTTTAAGAAACAAACTTACACTTTCAATATTTCACTTGGAGGCGATGGGGCACCATTTGAAAAAGATGACACTTCGTGTTGCTGGTTAGTTAGTTTTCTTAATTTAGGCAGGAAAGTGCTAAGCAGCAATGAGAATTATCTATTGTTTGGAGCCAATTGTAAAGAGGATTGTGTGCCAGTGCGTCGGTTTCTACAAAAGTGCTTGAGTGATATTAGTGTTTTGGAGAAAAGTACCTTTCAGGTTGAGTGT